CATGACCGTACGGCAAAGCTCTTTCTTGTGGGTTGTGACTGAGGCTACACAGCTCATAGATATTACGGGGTCGATCGTCAGCTAATTATTTTTCTATGACCTCTTGTTCCTTGGCAAAAAAAAAATGGCAGCTTCATCGAGAATCAGCACGCGGCAGCAAAGCCCTTGGTGTATCTGCCAAGACCTCACAAATGCCCTCCCAGACGAAAACAGCGAAAAGATGGCAGGAGAAGTCCTTCCTCAAGAGACTATGTACCTGGGCCTAAAATCTGACTTTAAGGTCTCACCTTTCAGAATGCCTGTCTTTCCCTCATTTTATTTTTAATAATGAACTTTTGTCTCCAGCTTCTCCATCGTGTCGCCTTAGCTGATCTGGTTAGGAATTAATTGCTCTCTCTCTCGCTCGCTCACACGTAGAAAAAGCCTAGGGATTCGAGATGCGCGTGTGCATGTTTGCATGCGTCGCATGATGTATCTCGTGTATGTGCACGTGTTAGCGGCCCCACGTGTCGCGTCTCTGCATCATGCGCTGCGCATCGTTGCCCGTCAACAGCGCCATTAGACACAGCATTCTACAGGCAGGGGTTAATCAGATCCAAGCTCAAAGTTCCTGGATTGATTGTTAGCGCTGTCAGTCAGTCGCCTGAGGAAGCCGATCGTGCCACACTAATTGGCCTGCGTATTCTTGGACAAAATAAATATTCATGTCCGTGTGCCGTCGCTGGCTCCTTTGAGATGCGGCAGGTTGTTGTACCACTGGTGAAAGAGTTCTAATCAAGGTCTCAACCCCAACAGTGCTGTTTCTCATCCTGAAGCCAAGCGAACCACAAATCAAGGTTCAGGCCCTTCACGGCATTAATATGGACTCGACATGTTTTAAATACATCAGCATCTTGTTAGAATACACAGTAACCATGAAAGTACATAAAGGTGTGAAAATTTCTCAAGCTGAGTCATAAGAGTTAACAAAAAAATTAAACAAGAAGACTAGAATCCAGCACCCAGTATACAGTTCATATTTATGGTGATTAGTGTGTGGCTTTTAGTGGGCAGGGCCACTATGGGATGTGCCTATGATCAGAAACCTCAGGCTTTGCTCTCAACTGTATAGATGTGCCCATATGTCTCAAAGGATCGCAAAATGAGATAGGCGACAGGAAACATTCCGATGTACGCATACTTGTGTAAATGGAAAATAAAGATGTTTCATATCTCAGAATTTGCTGTCAGGGTTACTTGGCACATAGTGGCCTCTGCCCAGGAGCCCACAGGAGGAATCCCACCTGGTTACTGGAGCAGGATGTTAATCCCCATCTGCGCACCATCAGCAGGGAAACTGGCAGTGATACGGTCGGAGCTTGGAGCTCCAAGCAGATAGCATGAGGCAGCAAATGTTTGTGCCTCTTACTTCCCAAGTCGTTATTATTTTATTTTCTAGCTGCCTGGATCTAAAAACATTCTCTCAAAGTTTGTCAGTCAGCAATTACCAACTCATTAGTTGTGTCCATACAGCAAATGCATGTTGTCGTTTTTTATAATTACACGCCAGTCGATGCTTCACCGCTTTGCCCTTTGTCCTTTAAGTAACCAATACAGCGGGGCAGTAATTGCAAAAGTGCTTCTTTTCAAATAAATGACAGCCTTTCTCGCTGATTCGATTATTGTTTGAGATTACTCATCCATTAGGAGTAGCCATTCAGCCGGATTTTCACACCTTTATGTACTTTCATGGTAAATGTGTTTTTTTGTGCATGGTTGCATCTTTACTGCTGGAGATCTCTTGGTTGGCATGACAGAGAGACCCCTGCTGTTACAGGATGGGCTCAGCATGGGTAAAGGGGCATTATTGTTTACCTCACATCTCATCCCTGATTTCTAATTCCTGTCCCCTTAATAGTCTATTGCGGTGCATGGCGCTGCAGGTAAGGACTGGATGCCTATGATCAGAAGGTTGCTAGTTCAAATCCCAGGGCCTGCAGAGTGATTTCACTGTTGGGCCCTTTAGCAAGACCACCAGAAGCTCCAGGCACTGGCTGATGCTGCTTTCTCAAGAAATGAACGTCGCCTCGGGTTAAAGTCTCTGCTAAATAAATCAAATGTAGATTCAATACCAGCAGAGCCATCAATGAAAGGTCAAACAGAGGGGAGCGAAACACAAAACACACGAGGGTGTGGAAAATGGTCTATATTCAAGATGACTTTGCTCTCTTTTAGTGAGTCAGTGGTAGGTGCTTGGAACTGGGGGGTGGCGTGAATGAATAGGTAAACCTGGCCTGACAGCTCCTCTGCACCCCTGCTCATCTCCAGTTCCCTCTTCGCCGACTCCCAAAGGCTCCGTCTCCTCCAGGCCCCACTGTGATCTCCATGACGACAAACGACAAATTGTTTTTGACTCTGGAAAAATCAAACAGCTTGTTGTTTTTCACTTTTAAGACTCTGTTGTGGTTTTTGATTGAAAACAACTACACATATTTTTATATTTCCAGAAAAGAAGCAAATCAACTTGAAAACTGAACAGCCGGATTGCAAATCTTATTTCATAAATGATTAACTGTGATTCTATCTAATCTTGCAGAGTGCAATCTATAAATAAATGAAAACGTAACTCAATTGAAAATAAATTCTATTTAGCCCGTAACCTTACGTCAATTATGGGTGTAAATGCGTGTAATGCTCTCTGTAAATATGTTTGGGAGTGTCTCGAAAATTAACAATTGTTACTGACAAATAGATTTTTTTCATTATTGCCCACAGTCGCTGCTGTTACATTCGGCTGTTTCTTACCGCAACGAGGATGCATCCGTTTTGCGCTCGAATGCGATTTTCCCATACTGTCAGGAAGGAGACACTTACTCCTCTCTCACCCACCATTCTCCCCAGTGTAAAGCTGAGCCATCCAGACCAGTGCCCTTGAAATTTGCAGCACCGAACAAAGCAGGTTTTAATTACATAATCGACCAACCATAATCATCCATTCTCACTCTCCAATTGGATTAAGCCATAAAAATATGGTAGGGGGAAATAAAATATGCAGAACATACAGTGCAGTAATCAAGGGCAAATTTGCAATATGCACAATTTAATGAACTCCCCCACACGCCTACTCTAGCTTATTCCAGTATTCCTGTGTGAAATAGTTTTATTAAGTAGTGTTCTTGTTTGGCACCACTACGTCCCGTGAAATTTGCATTGTGAGTCATCCAGGCTCCCAGCCTTCGACCGAGGGGAATTTTATTTATTTATTTTTTTAATTTGGGGGTTGTATGGGGGTTACCCTAAGAGATCCCATTTCTTGAAGGCATGTTCTCCTATGGCGAATTGTGCTGTAAACGTGAGGGAATGTTCCGGAAGCTCTCAGCTTTGGTCAAAGGAGAAAAAAAAAATCCCTGAAACCAAGCATACCTTGGCAAAACTCAGCAAACTAATAAACAATAATAACAACAATCATTTGAATATTCATATTTATACGGGGTCACAGTGAACCTGCAGTATTCCTACCGGATGGAATGGCAGTCCGTAGCAGCATGGGGGCGCTGTGTGGCGCAGTGGGTTTGGTTTGTGTGCTTGTGTTTGGAAGGTCACTGGTTCAAACCCTGGGGCTGGCAGGCTGATGTCACTGTTGGGTCCTTGAGCAAGGCCCATAACTCCCAGTTACTCCAGTTGCACGCTGGCCGACCCTGCATGGTGACCCCCAAGCTTGCTCTCACCTCTCTGTGTGTTCCATGGAAAAAAAAAACCATGTCCCCAAAGAGATAAATAAAATATCACTCTTCTATTATTGTTAATTCACTGTCCCTTCCTTACTTTTGGTGACATTTTTCAGGTCGCCATTTGGATCACCTCAATTTTAAAAAAGTAAAAAAGCCAAAAGACTTATATTTTGTTTGGTTACATATGGTTAATTTTAGGGTTGGGTAGAGGTTAAAGGTGGTTGGGATTAGGGTTTCTCCCATAGAAATGAATGGAAGGTCCTCATTTGTGTGTGCATGTGTGTGTGTGTGTGTGGGGGGGGGGGGGGGGTTGCATGTTTTCCTCATGTAACATGTGGGTCTGCATCTTATATGGAAAGTACACCAATGTAAGGAGTCCAGTTTATTTGGAAGAAGACCCCCTAAGGCATCGGGAAGTGAGTGATCAGCCCTCCAAACAAGACCTCACCTGTGCTGACACGGCCAGAGGCCGTAAGGTAAGGGGACAGGTGCGTAATGAGATATGCTGCCATGATTATGGATTCCAAAACCTGCATAGAACATAAAGGCTTTTGGTTAATGTATCGCACAAACTAAGCTGCATATATAAACCTTCAGCAGGGGTGGTTCATGCAGGAAACATTTCACAGAGGATGAACGACTCAAGAGGTATCATGTCCAGCAATGGTGAGAACCGACAAGTGTATCTGAACTTATGACATTTGATTTTGGGGGTTTTAATGGAGATAACAGGACATGCTAAGTGATAGGACACCAATGTCATCTGAAGACACCCCATGGACCACAGAATTAGGGAGGTCAATTCTGGAGCATCATTAAGGACACAAATTACCTACAAATAATTTAATGCAAACCATCGAAAGTTTATTAATAAAAGTCTGAACTCTGTTTGTGTTTTCTTTTGCAACAGAAATGGGATTTTTTTTAAGGGAGGCAAATGATATTGATTACTCAGTGAGTGTTGAGGTTTGATATCTACTAATAAATTGTATTTTTAGACACTTTATCGAATGTAATGTTATCACCAGCATAGGACAAATCTCAACATGCATCGCAAGGCGAAAAAGTGTATCGTGAGGTGAGCGGGCTTTCGCAGTTTAGAAAACTAAAGGTTATATCTGAGTCTTTCAAAAGTAAACAGACATGTGGGCATGATTTTAAGCCCCGCCCCTGTTCATATGATCACATGATACCCGACCATGAGATGGTCTGTGTATAGTACCCCAAGCATCATGCTTCATTCACTCAAAAAAACCTGTATTGTTTGCTTGTGTGCCATATATGGGCGCTATGTCGGCCAGTTCTTCCAGCAAGCCCATGTTGGCTCCTCCTGTGACCTGGTCTGGGACTCTGGATCACCCTCTGGACTGCATGGACGATCAGGGCGGCGTGGCTCGCTGCCCGTCCATCTCCTAGGACCAGCTGCTGGACCGGGTCATCCAGCTGGCCGAGCTTATATACCAGGTTTCCAAGGAATCCTGTGCGCTCTTTCTGAGTAAAATCTGTTTAATCCCATCACATGGTAGGCTGATTATTTATTATTGAGGAAGGAGAATGTTCTGAATTGAGAATCAAGATGTCCAGCACACCCTGCTACATGTGACGTCGCCTCTACCAATGACGTCCGTGCATCCAGCTCGCCGTTCTGCCTGTGTCATCTTCCTTGTATGACCCGCTCCCTGCCTTCTGGTTGCCTGGCGATTGGAGGGAGTGGTGGCACCGGCTTGCCATCTCCCCCCTGCTCCCCGTTTGTGTCTCAAAATTTACTGTATCTGACTCTCCCAGCCGGCCCCTGGAGGATGGGCTCCCCCTTTGAGTCTGGTCCCTCCCAAGGTTTCTTCCTTCTAGGGAGTTTTTCCTTGCCACTGTCGCCTATGGCTTATTCACTGGGTGCTTTGGGTGGGGATGCTGTAAAGCGCTTTGAGACGGTGTAATGTTGTGATAATGCGCTATACAAAAATAAATTTGTTTGTTTGTTTGTTTGTTGAATAACAATAACAGTATGTCACTGGCAACATCTACATTTGTACCATTATACTAATGTTTTATAAAAATGTCATTAAAATATCATTTAGAATCAATATTACTAAAACTACCATGTGACATACAATAGACAATAATTAGGAGTCTAGGATGGTGTATGAATTAATACAAGTGGTATATCTGTACTGATCTCTATGATCAATAGCAAAAAATATTTTTAAGAATTATCCACTTCTTTCAGTATCATTGTATCAAATTCACATGAAAAGCTGTACCATTGTCATATGAAACAGAAACAGACATGATTATTTGTCTAATTATTTTTCAATAGATCCCTAAGTAACCTAATAGATCCCCAAGTAACCTAAAAGATCCCTAAGTGATATGCTGGATTTACTGCTGTTAACTAATGTACTCCAGTCATTCTCTTATGAAAGAGGACATGTAAGACTGTATTTCCTTAGAGCGCATGAGATGCAGCAATTGAGACCTTACTAGACTCCAGAAAATATTAGAGGCGACGTTTAGTTTTTGAGAGGATCAGGGATGGTGTCATGCCCAGTCTGGCTAATCGGCACCTAAGCTCTGTCTGCGCCAGAGGTGAGCGATCGTCATTACAGATTTAAAATTCCTTTGATGTCAGTTTTTAGAGCGTACAAGTAGTTCACTGTAGCAGTTAAGGGGGGGGGGGGGGCGGTGCGTGTGTTGCTTGTGACAGGAGGTAATTTACAGTGGAAAATGAATTTTAACTACAAAGAGCGTTTCTATCAGCAAGCGGCTGGAGTTCGACAGCCTGGGCGCTAACGTTATAGTCCAGGCTTCCGTCTTGTCGCCTCTTTGATTTTTGACTGAATACACAGTGTACACAGTGGACCGTTTCACTAGGCATGAGTTCCTCAGGAGAAGAAAGCACTTTCATCTGTAAACATCTAATTATTTCAGTAATAGCAGTCATATTTAAATTATTAAAAAAATATGAGGTGTGGGGTATTGCTGTCAAAGCGATCTCCTGTAGGCTGTTACATTGTTCGAGAGCACGAAGGTGACGCAGTAATACTGAAGCGGTAAAGTATTAGCATAAAATTGACAGCGAGACGCTAATGCTGCCAAGGAGGGGCCGATCGCCTGGCGGTGGAGCTGGCGGGCTTGATTGGGGAAGATCGTTTTGATAAAAATGCAGGACTGGCCCTAGGTGGGCGGCGAGGGAGGCAACACGATTCTGTAGCTGGATATTCAGAAGCAGCCTTTATTCTTAGATTCTGATGGAAAAACCATGGCAAAAGATCTTGCGCTAACGGCAGGCTAAGGTCACAGCGTGATGGGCAGTGCCCACAGGAACGCACTTATTTAGCAAAGCAAAGCTCATTGCAGTTTGCCGCAAGGGAATTTTGGCTGACGTTTCGTGCGTCAAGTCTCGCCGCAGACTCAGAGTTCCCGAGCGCCCATCCGATGCGCGAGCGATTAGCTATCCGGTCCCCGCAGCAGTGACTTTGGCATAGCCTGTCAGAGGATATTAATGAATTTGGACAGGATGAAAAATAATGATACATACTGTATATGAGTCAGCTATGAGTCACCTGGAAGCATGAGTCTATCACCGCAGGATGGAACCAGATTTTCCGGCAGCTAAAGTGGAAGGGATGGATAGTGAGAAATCAGGACAAAGGTCTAGAATTGAAAACTGGACCGCAAACCAGATGTAGCTGTGAGGATACACATTAATACTTTCATGCGGCGGGAACAGAGGAACTCATTTTTGACGCCTGTTAAGATTCGCACACCGATTTATAGCTGAAACTCGCGGAAACTCAGACTTCCTAATGAGAGAAGTGACTGACAAGCAGGAGACGCCATAAAAAAAATACATAAAAACCCAGAACGCAATGGAGAGAATTCTCAGCTCGAATTTGGGATTCATTCTCCATCCCTGGAGCAGAACGGTGAGTAAAGATGCAGGACTCTGATACTGGAGAAAACTCTCCAACCTGGAGCATAAAGTACCAAAGGAACTACTTAGACTCCTCATGGGCCTCAGTTAGCACTCAGTCTTTGTTGATACCAACTCAGGTATAATAAACAGAAATACTAGCAATGGGATTCAGAAGCCAATTATTAATGTATGAATAAAATGTTTAAGTGCAGATCTGCAACTTAGCCGTATATTTTCTTAACCTTATTTATGGAGCTGGATATTATACAGCAGGACATGAAGTACCGTGATGAAAGGTATTAGCTACCCTAAAGGCTTGGCTGGGACTTGAATTAGCAAGCTTTGGCCTAGCATGTCTGCCCCAGAACTTTACCCCCATCTGCATTTTACTTAATTACTTAATTAGAGAAATTACAAGGTATGAAGGACAACAGCACTCTGAGAAATAGGGGGTTTTCCATAGCACAATTACATGATAAAATTCTGTTAGTGTATCACATTCAATACCACAGTCCAGGTTGTTCTCCTGCCTCGTGCTCAATCCTGCATGGGATTGGCTGGATTGTCCTGGATAAATGGATGACATTCAACAACTATTCAAAATGTTATTATGGGAACACTATTTTCTCTCTGAATCATGAATTGCTACAATGGTTCGTTTTGAATAACTTTAATTTGAATTGAAATAATTTCCCTTCCTGCAACACAACTGCAGTGAGAAGCCCAATTAATATTAAGCATCCAATATGATTGCATTCATATACAGTAGTTAAATTTACTTACTATGCCTGAACAGCAACATAGAATCAATTAATACACTTTGTACAGCTTGGTAAATACACACACATACGACCTAAAGCTATAATGTATGTAATACTGCAAATGAATTAGATAATAATCCTAGTGAATAATTAGACTGATATTACAGTAGACAAATCGCTGTGTAGGCCGCATGCACAAACGATGCGACAAATTAGGATCCAGCAGACTCACGGCAAAATTCACATCCGCGCAAGAAGATGCATTTGCATAACTTCCTGTGCCGCTGCGATCTGCAAACAATGCGAGCGCGCACCCCTATTATGCGCGTCGGAGTCGCGGCCCTGCAGCCGGGAGACGAAAATGACTTATTAAACCAGTGGAATTGGAAAAGCGCCCCGGAAAGAGTGAATCCATGCACTTATTATGGGTTTTGATTGCTGGAAAGCATGCCAGGCAGCTCCATTGATATCACGCCAAAAAGTGTTTAAGACTAGAGGAGCTGTAAATAGCACTGTGAAGGGATGCAAAAGCGGCGCGTGAAAGTGGCGTTGGAGGACACACTGGAACGCGCTACACTCCGCTTCCCTGACTGTGTGGGACCTGCCATTAAGTTTGTTGCACTGTGGATCTTAGGAGCAGATGCTCGTCCCTAATCAATTAAGCGTGAAACTCTCACTCAAGGAGATAAAGCATGGAAATTACATGGGATTCAGATGCTCTAGTCCAACACTCCAGTATGTGGTTTGGTACCACAACCACGGAAGGAACGAGTGCATGCCCAAATCCTTTCCAATCCCCAGCTCCAAGAGTGAAATGCAACAGGTCTTGGTAAGTGGACAGAGCAGAGCTGACCCAACCCTAAGTGAAATCTGAATTGGGGCCCCTTTAACTAACACACACTCATACACCACAGGCTGATGAAGTTTGGGGGGGCTAGTTGCCTCTGGACCCTGAACAGCTGATTTGTTCGCTTACGCCTCAAGACAGAACATAGACATAGTCAAGGCTTTAAGGGAATCTGGATGATGGACGCTCAACATCCGAGCGGGGAGTGGGTTGGTGGTCTGACACTGTATGTATGTGTTTCATAATCTGCTGGGCCTTCAGTATGGATCTCAGAGGTGGTGGGTCTGCCCCTCTGTGGTCCTTCTCCACCCAATACTATCACACAAAGTCAATAACAGAGATCCGAGTCAAGGAAATAACACTTCGAACAAGACGACAAACTGATACATAGACAAGCCATCGAGAGGACGCAGTGAACTGACTGGGTCAACTGTTAGCTTTGTTGCAGTTCTACTCCAGTGAACAGACACAAACATGGGATTATGGGTAGAAGCCAGTGACTTTATAACCTCAAATCCACTTCAAATGCTTGATTCAAACACCTTATTAAAACTTCACATCACATTCCATTCACCCCCTCAACATACTGAAGCTTTACCCCAAACGTAACTGCAAATAGTTTTCTGTAGATTCATATTTGCTTTTACTTATTACTCGTTCTTTTGTCATGCTCTGCAATGTCCCTTCTAAATAAGCGAGTGACCTTTTTTTTTGACAACGGACTCCAATATTTTACACGACACCCCCGTAACCTTTTACAATTCATATTTGCGAAGGGGTTTTGTTAAGGACTGAATCTACCTATATTGATGGAACACAGCCAAAGATAATAAAAGCCTATTATCTATCTCTATAGGAAATTATATAATTATATGCTAAGTGGAGCATTAGCGGAGGCTAGCAACGTTTTTGCAGGATAGTCATAATGCCTGGTGCTTTTTGTTCACAGGAAAAGTGGCTTCTCCACTCGGTCCTAATGTTGGTGCAGTCCTGGATAAAGCCACTGGTCTATCTGCAGACGACCCTCGGTCGCTACAACGATGCACCCGTTGCCCTGCTCAGCAAGACCAAGTGGGTGTCAGACAAGCTGTTGAGGTTGGAGCAGGGTGTTGTGGTCCTCATCAGGAAGGTCAGTCAGCTCATGTTGCAACATGGGACATTCCCGGTCGTCCTGTGTATCCACCGCATGTGCATGGGAGGCGTGGGATGCGATACTAAGCTTGTGATTGGTTCATTGATTCACTTCTTCATTGAAACATCCTAAGGTGTGCTTTTGGATTTCCTGAGACATTTCAGTGTCCCCATTATGAGGGAGAATCTAACAGAGCAAATGATTTTTCAGATACTTTTCCCAATCTTTTCAACAATTCAACAAAAATAGCTATACTGTACTATGCTACACTATACTATACAATACTATACTATGCTATACTACGCTATGCTACAATATACTATACTAAGATTACATAAAGGATTTCTAAGGGGGCATTCAGTGTCACAAGTGTGTTTCCCCTCATATCCCCACTTTTATAAACTTTTGGATGCTTTTGTAATTGACATCTAATATTTAATGCCGGGCCTGCAGCTGGAATAGTAACCCTAAGCCTTCATTTGTGAATCTAGATCAGCTTCTCTCTCTGCAGTGATATATTTAATGAGAAAAAAAAACCCAAGGTAGTGCTCCAGTGGATGAACTGGAAATACCTCCCGAATGCTATAAATTATTGAGGTTTCTGCAAAGGAGTCGTTCAGATATGCATAAATTTGAGCTGCACAACATTAGCTACATTAAATCAACTGCAATCTCCCACCGGTGCGTAAAAGTGGCCCACTTCTGTTGGTCTAACCTTTCAGGACGCCAACTTCGCCTAAGTCTCTATGGAATCTCTCGGTAGTGTCAGGGTCACCTGACCTCAAAGCCCTTAGCATTCCATACAGAAGTCAGTTCTTCTCAGATGCTGGACAAGGGCGCGCTGACGGCCACCAAGTACGACCGGAGCCCGGTGAGCTGCGACACACACCCCGAGATTCAGGAGTCCATCCTCAAAGACTACACCGTGCTCTCCAGCTTCAAGAAGGACACCCACAAGATGGAGACCTTCCTCAAGCTTCTAAAATGCCGGCAGACCGACAAGTTCGGCGGCTTCCCGTTCTGACTTTTTCTCCCTCGCTGCCCCCATTGATGCACATCTTTCTTTCACATTACTACAGTGTAGCTAATAGCTAAGTTTTTGTCTAACCCGACTGTGTTTAAATGAAAATTATACAATGAAAGAAAACGATGCAGGCGCCTTGCCTTGCCCTATTTTGTTTTAACACAAATTAGCAAAATGCTACATAGGTAGAACGGGCTTGGGGATTTCAGGACATCTGCATATTTTTAAACTAGCGTGGGAGAGCGGGGAACAATCTCTCAGGCTCATTTGTATGTGGCTTCTCTCTGAAATCTGCATATTTTTACCATTGATTTTCACATCCCTTTGTTCTAAACTTGAGTTCACATTCTGCCCTGGTTTTCTAGAACCCCCCCCCAGACAATTCAGTCACCCCCTGTGAAATCCAGCAGATTTTGATTTTTTTAAATTATTATTATTATTATTATTATTATTTCTATTTTTTTCACTTCGACATTAGTAACATTAGTGGAAAGGAAAAGCCCCTCCCCAGAGACAGGAGAAACCGCATGTTAAAGTCTGAAGAGGCTGAGGGGAAATGTTCTGTCAGGGAACGTAGGTGTAGAAATAAAAATGCTGTAGGGGGGGTGACTCATTCAAACTGAATCAGAAACAAGGATTATAATCATCTTTTAATGGATAACTTTGTTGAACTTAAGTCTCATGTGACATTAATCTTTATTAGCATTCATTTTACTTGTGTGGCAGCCTGATTTTCTCATACTGTCAGATGTTATTTCTGCTGACTCTGAGGAAGATTTTAGTTTGAACATGCATTTACACTTTTTTTGCTGAAAGTGTGAGGTGTGATACTTTGGGGAACCAAATAAACCACGCCGGCCGATGATCAAAGCCGTAACCACAATATTTCTCATTAAAATATCTCATTACGTCCAGCAACAAACTCCTAATTAGTGCATGGTGGCTTTTGAGTTTGCGCTGATAAAAATGGATAATTAGTCGGCATGAGATGAGATATTTTATAAGCATTAATGTTAATCAGGAAGTGATTGGTTCATCTAGAGATGTTTACCTACATCCTGTCTGCTTTACAAACCATAGCGGAATTCTGTAAATACACAATATTAAATGCACACATCCATCCAATAATCATTCATAAACTCAACCTTATACTCATTACAAGACCTCAGTGAGCTGAGCAACACATGGTAGGGGAAACGATGGATAGGGTGCAATACACACACACACACACACACACACACACAGACCTGTACTCAGATCTTTGTGAGGCCTGTCCGTTCATTTCTATGGGAAAAACCTTAATCCCAACAATGACAACCCCAACCCCCCACCAAGCCCTAACCTTAACCGTAAGCATCCAAACAAAACGCAAGTCTTTTGATATGTGTAGTTTTTATTTTACAGGCTGCCCCATGTGAAGCTACATCCTGCTTGCCCCCCCTGCTCACTTCTGCCCAATCATAGCACCGATTGTGTTCACGCACCATAGCCTCGTGTCGGAAGCCTGATTGCTTGTTTGTTGTTTATTGAATTTGTCCAGCATGTGGCCTGCAAAGGCTTTACCTGTGTGAGGAAACTGTAGAAGACAGAATAATCGTAATGAACAGCATTTTTTCCCATTGTTGGGTATCACTGACACCAGGCCGACATGCATCTCAGAAGCCACAGTGGCTGTTAGCCCTGCAAGACCTTACATGTATTATTCATTAAATTGTACATGCGCGGTCTATTTAGAAAGTGGTTAATGGTACGATGGTCTGTCTGGCTCCATTAGACGCATTGGCTCTGCGCACAGCTGATTTATAGTGCTGCCTCAAATGACCGGTTCACTGGCTTTGCTGAGCCCGTGGTTTGCATCTATAATCCTGCATTGTTTTTTTCCGTGCCCCGCCCACTCATGTGCCCCAGTCAATCAGACAGGACCTCTCTCTCTCTCTCTCTCTCTCTCTCGCTTTCTTCTCTCTACCTCTAGTTTGCACCCAGGTTATTGGACAGAGAGAAAAAAAAATAAAAGGGATGTAGGGGGGAAAAGTTAAATTAGTAAAAGCTAAAAAAAAAAACTTAAAGGTGACAAGAAGACCAGTGCTAGGTTAATTTCCATACCTGGGGACTTGCTGTTAATAAAACTATTGCAAGTTTGAAAAACAACTTCTGCTCTGTCTCACCCGTGTATCTGTGCACACACACACATTTTTAACAACCTTATTAGCATCCTTATTCGGTTTTAAAGTTACCTTTTTTATGACGATTTCATTGCGTAAAAAAGAATTATTTTTCATGTCTGAGTTGCAAGCCATTATGAACCTAGACTTACTGCCCCCGCTGAAATCCCATTTTTGCAAAATATGTTGCTAAATTTATAAACTGCGCTACAGAAACACCTAAGTCGTAATTAAACTGCTTGCGATGCAAAGCCAGCACGCATTCCCTAATCAATTAAGCGTGAAACTCGCACTCAAGGAGATAAAGCATGGAAATTGCGTGGGATTCAGATGCTCTAGTCCAACACTCCAGTATGTGGTTTGGTACCAGACCTACCCTTTAATGGGTCTTTTTAATTATCGTTAGTATTGTAATTGACGTTATGAGGTGTGAAAGAGAAAAAAAATCCCATGCGCCAAGGGAAGGAAGATTCTTGGCTAAACATTGCGAGATGAAACTGTCATCTGTTCCCCGTGCAATGTGTGTGACGGATATATAAGGCCTGCATTATTTCCAAGATAGCTGCCTCGTAGTAGAAGCTGCAGAGAACATTGCCTGGCGGGTCCCATGAGGGGTGGGGGTGCGTTACCCCACCTCCATCTACTTCACCCCTTATTCCTGAAACCTTCCATTCCGCAATCCCGCTGCGTATTTCCCATTTTCCGATGGACACGAGCCCACTCCGGGTCCGAGTCAGAGGAGGGAGAGCTCATGCGGATGGGAGGCAGCGCTACAATAATCGACCTGCCAGCATGTATTGCATTTGATCTCCCCCGTTGCTGGTTAAGGACATACCGGAAGATACCACTGTCGCTGTGTTTTGGGGAGGAAGCTTTTCACTGCTGTTTGAAAATGTTAAGGTTTATGATGCACTGTATGAATATCCATCCCCTATTGGTATCATCCCCACCTGTCTCAGCACGCACTGCGCTTTCCTGCCACAGTACAAAAGGTGGCAGCAGCGTTCTTCCTTCTAAGCTGCTGTCGATGTTTGCCCTGGGTCCAATGATGGAATCACATTTACACTAGACTCAAACTGGCCAATGGAGAGCCAGGACCCTGGGCCTGGGGGTGGGGTTAAACCCTTTGATATGCAGAGGATGTATTCCATGGGGCCGCACCTACTGTATGCCCCAGAGGGCAGAGATGGGGGGCACGGGGGCACTGCCGCCACTGCAACTGACATTCGCTCTAACCTTAGATGATTGGGGGGGGTCATTCATTTCTCATAAGTGAGCTGACATGGTGGAATTCTATTCTTTTAACATAGCATGAGGGGTGTGGGGGGGCAAAAACACAGCGACAGTGCTATTGAACAGTCCTTGCATGATTGATAGTGGCCCAGAAGGTATAATTGGGGAATGGAAGAAATAAATGCAGGACTGAGAATAAATTACAATGACAATGGAAAGGGGGACAGCAGCCAGTAGCTGCAACATAATGGCGTTTTCCTTGTTTTCCAGTTTTCCTGGCCAAAGAAAAGCAGAAAGGCTTTTGCTCCAGCCTGTTTTTAAACTCATTCTTGTGCCCCGTATTCTAGTCTTTGCTTCTCCGCCATCTTCAATCGACTGGGGCGAGTCGCAGGCAATCAGAGGTCGGCATGCTGACGCTGTCCGGGGCAGGATGTGGCAGCGAGGCCCAGTGTCAGCAGTGTCACATGGGGCTTCCTGTGCTCTAATCAGTTCCGCATGGGGGCCCGGGCCCGGAGCGGCTCTGCACACAGCCAGCCGGTTCCCAGGGAGACACAGGCCAGGATCAGGTTCTGTCCAAGATTCATGGTCATAAATATTAAAGTCCTGCTCTGGGGGCGATGGCGGACCAGATGATTTCATAGTCTAAGCATTATTACCTGAGGTAAGGAAATTCAGACTGCAAGGACGTGAGACTGGAGCGCTGCTGGTGCGGGGAGCGGGACAGAGGAGGAGGCCACGAGGGAGATGGAGATCAAGAGGAGAAAACGGAGATAGCTGGAAGGCAGGAGCTTGGAAGAAAGAGACAAAGTCGGGCACGTTTTGCACTCTGTGATAGGGGTCTCACATCCTCGGCGTTCCCAAGCTGCAACTCTGGCTTTGACTGCCAAAGCCCAATGGCTCAGGGCAGCAAATCAATCCGTCAAATGTCTCGGTTGTGAGCGCCGTCTCACCTGCGCCCCCTACTGGTCATGATGAGACCCCAACGTATGATGCAACGTCGCTTCACCTTTAGGGCTGGGTGTATCATGGCAAGCGATGGTGTTCGGATGGTGAAGGAGCATTTTGAGCCCCCCCTCAACCCCCCCCTACAAATTCCCACCCCCATAAGAAGCCCTCACCACGGGGTACAGCTGTCAGACTGGGGCAGACCAAAGAATAGCAGCCAACCACAGGGCAGGAGGAGAGATGACATTTCCCCCATTCGACTTCACAGCCCCCCCGCCACGACTTCCCTGGGGGACCTTGGGGAGGCCGCTCGTACGTGTCAGCAGAGTCGAGGGTCAAAGGTCAAGGGTCGGGCCTCTCCTAACTGTTTCAATGTGTTCCCGAATGTCAGACGGGGCCTGTCAGGTTGTAATAGTGGGATAAGGTTTCAACCCGGATCCCTGGCTGTGAGAAAGGGAGACCAGGGTGCCAATCCTCCGCATTTGAACAAGAAAAAAAAGTTGGTGTGAAAACAGACTTTATCATGAAGCGAAGCTCATGTTTCACAGAAATTTATGGAGAGTGAATCCAGTAACAGATCAGGGCCGTTCCTTAATCTTTATCACTCGCTTATTCACTCTGAGCTGCTACCACTGGATTATTCACTTGAGCCGGGATTTG